CGTGGGGGTGGTTCATTGATTCTAGCGTTCACTGTTGTTTCTTTAAAAAAGAGATAATGAAAAAGGGATAATTTATTTTTCCTTTCATAGGCTTAGTTGAATATTGTAAAATTGAAGTTCGGTTCAAATACTGTTGAATGTTTTTTTATATAAAGGATATCGAGAGTCAGTTTGGAGCGAAAGATATTAAGAAGAGTAAGCATACAGTGCATTGAAACTAAAAACAGATAGATCTTTCAATATTACTTATTTACAGTAGTAATGAAATATGCTTTTGGATTACCAGTGCTCATGTAGTTGTGTTGTTGTAAAACAGGCCTTTACAGTTCTGCTTCACTCCTGAGAAAACCTTTCATTAATACAGGAACACATCACAATTGTCTTTGGCCAAGTACTGTGCAAGTACAGTATGGCAAACTGAGGACCAAATACAACACAGCCACTGCTGTAGAAATTGTGGAAAGGAAGATTAGTCTTGCTAAAACTTGTTTCTGTCCTTCTTTTGGTGTGTATTTGTCTTGTCAGATTATTTTTTTGTGAAGAAGAGATGAAAACGTATAATTAGTTAGTCTCACTTTCTTGCCTGAAGGGCTTTTGTAGAGATGCCTCAAATATCTACAATTCCTGATGGAAATAACTCCATTAGTTTGAATTTAAACACAATGGATGTGAGAAATTGGTGAAGTACGATTTTCTTTTGTCAGTGTTACATAAGATACCGTATAAAACTTCTCACTTGGGCTTGTTGCTGGAAGGAAGATGTTTTAAGGATTTCCATTGGGAAGCAAATATTGCATTTCTATTTAAAAAAAAAAGAAAGCTGTTTTTTATAAGCTCTGTTGCTGCTGCTCTCTAATGGAGAAAAACTTCTGAATATATTTTAAGTAAAAGCCCTACAGAAAGTAAGTTGATTCACAGATTAAAAAAAATAAAATTAATGAAACAAAATTGAATAGAATTTTTAAAAGCATTAATTTTTCAGAACTATTATTGCGATAAATGACAAGTGAAGGGAGGCATTTCTTGTGAGAATGTTTTTTCAAGAATTGTTGTACTATATTTATTCCTTTTAAGAGAAACAACTTTCTTCTAGGGTCCAAACATATGAACACTTTGGTGCCATGACCAGATTATGTCTCTAAAAAGACACAGAATAGAGACACACAAATTTAGTAGCTGTCTTGTATTGTACTTGAAATATGGAGTACTGCAGGGCCTGAAGGCAGAGAAGCAATAGTGTAAGGATATCTGTTTTTTTTTTCTTTTTTTTTCCCAGTTATTAAACAAGTGAATATCACTGCTTCTGTGGTTGTAGCAGGTCTTATCCATTGCTGACTGAAAAAAAATAAAATAAATAAAAGGAAAGAAATCCACTCTTTAGAAAGTGCATTTAAGCTCTCTTGTTTGCTTTCAACTTATTTTGATGGTAATATAGGAAGGGCATATGTTTCTCTGAGCTTGTACTTCCAACTTCAGTCTTCTGAGACATCTTTTGACACACACACTGAATTGGAGATTCTTTTCCCCACAGGGTGCTTGCAGATGACATGCAACTCTGTGATTTTCACAGCAGCAGCTCCAACTGGTCTGTGGCTTTAAGTTATCAAACAACTATAGATATGAGGATGGAGATTCTCTTGCCTGTGTATCTATAATGCTCTTTGCATATAAAATTAAGGAGAAGAGCAGAGAAAACACGCAGTTACCTGCTGTCATATCTTAAATCCTAGATAAAATATTGTTCAAGTTTGCTGTAATTTACAGATGGAATGGCTGACATTCATTTACCCTGATGTTCTGTCTTCTCCCTTTCAGCATTAGGTAAGTTTCTTTCTTTGCATTCTGAGATATTAATTCTTTTTTTTTTTTTTTTTTTTTCCCCCTGCTACTTCTGACAATTTATTTCATGAGCAATTGGTAGTGAAGATGTCTACTAAGGAAAGGAGTTAGCTGTTCTCAACATGTTAATTGATTTGCAAATTCAGCTGTCAAAAAAAGACCCTGAGAGGAACACGCAGTAAAACTTGGTTCTCAATTAAGCTCATGTCTGCACAGCAGTGCCCTGGGCTGCTATGCAAGGTTTCTTTGCATCCAGCTTCTCGCTGATCAGGCACGTCACAGAGGTAATGCCTTTGGCTCCCAGGGGAAGGGAAGAAGTCAACCACAACGTACCTTCCTTGGATGAGTCAGTAAGTGTATCATTAGCTGAAATGGCTGCAGGTCTTCTCTTCCTCGGCCAGGATTCAAAAGTGTGACACTGGAAATCTGAGTACGAGAGAGAAAAGGAGAGACTTCTGCATAGGCTCTCCCACGCTGTTCAGCACAGTATTCTTTTGGTTTTATTGTATAATGAAGAGAGAGAGGAAAAAAAAAAAAAACAAAAAAAAACCTCTACCAGAGTTAAAAATAATCTAAAATTTGTATACATTAATAATTAAATTACACCATATTCTTTTGTGCGTGCTTTGGTCAACAGTGCTCAACCTTTTTGTGTGACAGCACAAAGGATTTCTCACGGTTAGTGGCAGCTCCTGGTGGGAAAAGACATCTTGACAGTAGGTGGCAGTGCAGCCCTTTCTTTCCAGCGTTGGATCCAGCAGCATAAATCCAGCCTTTACAGAGCACAGCCTTTTCCAGATGCAGGCCTCAGGGCTGTATTCAGTCCTGCAATTCACTTCTCATTGCTGGGATGTCTCATTAGGAGATTAACTGTTTGAAATGCAGTGCTAATGTGAAAGTTTTAATTGGGAAATCCTGTGCATGTTAAATTAATCTTAAGTACTTTTATCTAGAATGCCTGCTTCCTTTCCATGGTGCTCTGTATTTTAAATCACCTCACGTTCTTTCACATCACATTAAAAAAACAACAACAACAAAAACTTGCAATAGGCCAACAGCGCCTTTTCCATTATATTTTGTTGAAGGTGATTTGCAAAGCTGGTTTCTGAAGCCTCCCAGATGCTGAAGTAGAGAGGTTCCTGTGTGCGATGTAAGTTGAGTGGTACCAGGGCTATGGTATATTGGTAAACAGATTATATCTGTAGAGAGATTGCAGGGCAAAGGTTTCATCCTAACCACAGCTTATGTTTCATGGATAAGTGTGTTATTCATTGGGAAATTCTGAGAACAACTGGGATTTGCAGTTGGAAAGAAAAGCAGATAGTAACGCAGCTAAACATTTAGGCTGAGATTTTCAAACTGGCCCCAGGGATTTTAGAGACTGGAATCTCAATCTGCCTGTAAAATCCTCAGCCCTCAGGACTATTTTCTTCTCTTTATAGTGCTCGTACTGTTTTTAATTTGATCACATCATACACACAAAAGCATGGGTATCTGGTAGAGTGGGGCAGGAGAGGGATAAATTGATGTTAGATCTGCCAACATAAAAACTGTTTTCTGATTCTTACCTTATATGTGCAGTTCTGATTTTGTCTACATACTCTTCTAGCTGCTGTTGCTTTTAAAGTCTTGATATTTCTCAGGGGCACTGTGAACTCTATTTGGCTGCCTTTTAGTCACTTTACCCAGGTTTTTTTTTTTTTTTCTCTCTTTTTTTTTTTTTTCTGGAGAGAGAGCTTGGGGTACAACAGTGTTGTGAGTATCTTTTCCATATTTCCCAGTATGGCTAAAATCAAACATAGGAATCCTTGCACTTGCATTGCCCAATACAGAAACACTTGAAAAACTGTGACTGTATAGACAGTGCAAACTGTATAGACAACCAGCCATACATTTAACATGAATATTTTACAGTTTGGGATTAATTGGGTTTATTATTTGGAGAATTTTTTTTTTTCTTTT